CTATGACTTGTTGAGTACGTTTTAATAAAGTGTAAAAATATAAAGATTTATATTATTTTCCTAAAAATATTATTTAAAAAAACTTGTTTTAAATAAATTAATTTAAGTTCCACAGAAAATCTATGTTATTTAAAGTGAGTCCCTGGGCGTGTCAGCGATCATTTATGGACTTTCAACATTAAAAGTCGGAGTTAGATTCTCCACAGTGGACAGAAAGTAGATAGCCGTATGTATGTTTAGCCTTGTGTTAAAACAAACAAACCGCCCGTTAGTTTAACCTCTCACAATACATGTAGTGTTGATGTTCTTTGATGAATTTCGCGCAAAGCTATCGAACAGCAACTGTCCCTAATTTTCACAAAAGGTTTTATCGGTTGTACGGAGAAAAACATTTGTTTATTTTGTACCCAACGCTTCACTGGGTTTACCTTGCTTCACACGGCTATCTACTTTCTGTCCACTGTGGAGAATCTAACTCCGACTTTTCATGTTTAAAGTCCATAAATGGATTCGATTTTGTTCAGTGGTTTTAAACACCTCTGCTACAAAAACTGTTCCAGTGTTAATGTTTCCAAGTGTAGCTAGGAGGCGTTGCGCGTCCCTTTGGTGGTTTCATAAATTTACAAAAGTAGGTAATGGGCATAAAACCTTCAAACCCATAGGCATGTAGCCCTATTTAAATTTCTAAATTTTTGTTACTATTTGTATTAGAAGTGGTTAAAGTACAACATGTAGCTAATTCAACCCATGGAATCGTATTCATTGTTATTATTTGTGTTAGAAGTGGTTAAAGTACAACATGTAGCTAATTCAACCCCTGGAATCGTATTTATTGTTATTATTTGTGTTAGAAGTGATTAAAGTACAACATGTAGCTAATTCAACCCATGGAATCGTATTTATTGTTATTATTTGTGTTAGAAGTGGTTAAAGTACAACATGTAGCTAATTCAACCCCTGGAATCGTATTTATTGTTATTATTTGTGTTAGAAGTGGTTAAAGTACAACATGTAGCTAATTCAACCCCTGTAATCGTATTTATTGGTTTTTGAAATATTATCGCTCGTTTGTATTTCAGAGACTTATGGTAAATATATGGTCGTTAAAGCTATTTAAGTCGTACTGTGACAGACGCCTTTATCAAGCGATCTTTACTGCCTATCTGGACACTTGGAACAAGCTGACGTTTTATTATTATTACTTTGTTTATTTTGCTATCACGTATAGCTCAGAAACTGTATTTTTATTGCTGATGAAATTATGTTTTGTTTTGTTTCACCATTTTGTTGATATTTCTTTTATTTAGCAGATTTCCATTCATTGCCTTCCCAACTCAGGTCACGTTCAAGAGAAAATGGGGATGGATGTTTACTGTGTAAAGATCAGTGCTGTCACATTAGCTAGTACTGTTTATAAATATATTCACAAGTTTTCTCACTAAACTACATGCGCTCTTTATTCGTGTCAAAATTATAGTTGAAATAAAATAAAAACACTCTTACTGCTTCTAAACAGCACTGTAATGCAAATAAAAGAAAGAAGATATTTTCATAATAAACTCTTCTGCTCACGAGTGCTAAAATAAGATTTCTGCACACAACCAACTTAAACTGGAACACCAGTAGTTTATAAGTCTATATAAATACGCATATTATTAATAGGTTAACATCTTTTCGCTGCTAAAGGCTTCATAATTTATGTGTTGTTTCAATAGTTAACGTGCAACCCAACAAAAAATAAAAATTGCGAGCGATATTAGTTTAAGAAGTGTGTTATAACATCTGCAATTGAGAAGTTTAAATGGGCAGTCCTTGCCAATCCCTTATATAATCCTTGCTTAATATTTTGGGATGTCAGTATTTCTGAATCTCTTAGAAACACTCTGATTTATCTGTAACTGGATCCATAATATCAATTCCCCATTTTACAGAATTGATTACCTATTGAAGTTTGTGATACAATGGAAAAAATGTTGCCTTTTACTTAACAAGGAATTTGTTGAGAGAAACTGAGATGCACACTCGTGGCGTAGCGTTAGGTCTGCGGACTTATATAGCTAAAATCCGAGTTTCGATACCCGTGTTGGGCACAATACAGAGAGCCAGTTTTGTTGCTTTTGTGCTTACCTTCAAGCAAACAAATAATATGAGCAGGATTTTCTCAGTCAGGTACAATCTGAATTACGTAATATCACTATTATATAAAGAAAGTATTTAAAGTGTCAAATGTTTCAAATATTTATCAAATAACTGAATACAAGAAAATAAACACAATATTTTAACATACATCACATTTTCTCGTTTCATCTCTTTTTTTTTAATTTAGTTTTACAGTTTGAGCTTAGACATCTTAAGAATACTCTGTTTTATAGGAATGGTTTTATTATGTTATTTTAACGGTTACACAGCGGAAATCTTACGCGTTTGTTAATTTAAATACTTAATTAAATGAGTTTGGGGAGTGTTTTTATCATGGCATTTTTATTTCTTTCTCTATTTAATTAAAACTTTGTTTGTTTTTCCCACTAGAATGTTTTCTTCTAAGGTGAATATAAATTGTCTGCCAAAAACCTATAGAATACACTGAGAAATTCCAACCATTTTGTAGAGCCCAAGAAACGCTAAATACTTCAAAATATATTGGGGGCACTACAAAGAAGATAATCGAGGAAGATTACCTACTATTAAGAAACGAAAAACGAAAAATCAAGGAATCCATCTTAATTGAACAAAGCAACCCTACTCTAAACCAACACCCTGGGGTGCCAAGATATCTCTTCTAAGTCTTGCAACAGTATTCGTTCATGCGACCTCTTTGTTCCATACTGTATATATATATATATATCTGTGTCAGTGTAAACTACCTGATGATGACAAAACCTTGACGAAATGTTGTACATTTGCTGTTATGTTAAACTTATATTAAAGTTTTTCTTCATTACCCATTCAAGCCGTCTCCATGCATTATTAGTATCAAAGTGGGTTCCTCGTCATCGAATTAATATTAAGAAATGGAATGAGATATTATTTTGGATATTTTATTTAGATCGTTATGGAGATCCGAGAAAAGTTTTTATATTGATTTCGTCTTTACAGAATGCATAACAAAAACAGGACATTTGAAATGAAAATCACTTTTAAAGAAAAGTAAATTTTCAGATCAAAATAAAATGTTTTACAAATCTGATTTCTAACACAGTTTCTTCAAAGTTTATTAAATTAGATGAAATGCCTGTATAACTGATTGGTTAATAAGTAAATGAATGGACTTTATAATAATGCTGTTTAACTGGTTACAAAACAATTAATTATTAACTGTTTATAAAGAAATGTAGGTTAAATCGAATAAAAAAATCCTAACTCTGTGCTGGATAAAAATTAGATAGAATTTGCTGCAGATGATAATAATTAACATTAACTAAAAAATGGTCAAACTTTCTTTAGTGGTACAGAGGTGGACAAAATAATGGATTCATAAACTAAGTTTTGGTGTCTATAAAAGGAGAAGATATAATCAGATGGCAGTTTCTCTGCGTGTTGACTTATTCTTTAAAATTTTCTTTATATTCAGTATTTTAATATTTTTTTTTCTTAGAGAAGGATTCTGATAATTTGATGGTAGAAATATCTTTTAGATTTCCAAAAATACCCGATTGTAGGCGAAAGTCACTTGGATTCTCAGTGATACGAACTCCTAAGATAAATAGTGTATCCCTAGGAAAAGTGTTAAAAGTGACCGCAGTATGAATATCTAAAAACAACCCCATAAGACAAACACCGCAGTTATCGAAAAACTAAGTTGAAAAATCGTGATAAATAAGCAATAGCACAACAAATATTGGAACGAAAACTAGAAATTAGAGCGTCAAAAGTGTGGTGTATGCAGAACTTAAGGTTAGCCCATAACAACCAATCTCTGTCAAAACAACTCTAACAGAACTGCACAAAATGAATTGCCATGGTAGTTCCAACATTCGGAAACTTCTTATAATACTAAAACGTTCAAAAGCCCAAATGAACTTATGTTAAAAGCATACAAATTAGACGAAAGTTCAATGGCTTGATGAGATGACTAATTTTTGAAAATAAAATAGACAGAAAATGATCACATAAACTATATTTTATACTAAGTTCATTCTTGGACGAATACTTTATCTTGGACGAATACTTTATCCACAAACAGTTTCAGGAATGCAATGCATCAAATCATACTGATAACATTGTTAAACAACATGAGGAACTGTTTCGGCACCTAGCTTGGCCACACAGTCACCAGGTTTAAATTTTATTGATCCTCTCTGGCGATCTCCTGAAACCTATGTTCAAAATAGATTTTCACCTTCAACATCGCTCCAACAGTTAAGAGAAGCTTTCATTCACAAATAGTAAAAAATATCTTTGTTCTATGTACAAAAGCTTGTTTGAGCAATTTCACGTTGATTTAATGCTGTGTTGTCTGTTCATTAATAAATTGTAGGAATTTAACAGGTGTTTCCATTATTTTTTCATATCCTCGTATTTTGAAGTAATACAGAAAATTGAGTATAATATATTAACACGATTTTGAACATGAAAGTCAGCAGCTCAAATCACAACTACATCTGTTATAAAGTCACGGAAGAGCGGAATGTTCTTGAACCTGAATTTTAACTTTGTTGTAGGTAGGTGCTGCTACCTTTTGAAAAGGGTATGTAACAGCCCTTTCCGACGCATCATATTCGTATACTCAGATTATAAAAATGTTTTCAGACCTCGGATTTAGAATTTCAAGACAGGAATGATCTTTGTTCTTAGTGCTATTGGAAAACAAATAAATGTATATCAGCTTACACATTTTTCACATCTATGAATCGTACAACGTTAGGTAAATGAGTTGAATAAAATAGATATTGTGTTATTTGTCACTGTCTAACAGTTTAAAAAATTAAGCATAAGATTTTGCAAAAAAACTGTGGCTATTTGAACAATAAAAAGTAGGTCAAACATAGTGCCTGGCTTACCTTTGATTCGTCCAACAATAGATTAGTGGATTAAACATAGCATTTGCCATAGCTAACCAGTAGATAGCCAAGTACAGATGTTGGATAAATTTGGCTTTCACGAGTTCCTTGTCATGGTAGGTATACAGAAAGTAGATATGGTAAGGTAGCCAACAAACTCCAAATATCACCACGATAGCAGTTAACATTCGCACCACCTGGTGGAGAAGAATACAATGCCTTAGAAATATAATCTACACATGTCATGGTCATTAGTATAAAAAGTATGTTTAAGCAGGTAATGATCCTTTTCTGGAAGCTTTTTACAACATTCCTATTTGCTATGTGATGTTAAAATTAAAAACTAAATGAGTAACGTTTACATAAGTTTTTAAGTTAAACTCAAAGCTATTCAGTGAGCCATCTTAAATGCGACCACCACATGGATCAAAAACTAAATTGGTGCATTATAAGCCCTCAAGTTTACCACTGGGCTACCACAAAGAGTTACTTATATAGAAAATAATATTTCTGGAAACATTTTAAAACAATCATATTTAGTTTAAAATTTTTAATGTAAAAATTAAATACCTATAGAAAAATATTTCAAATGTTTAATCATTTTTTACGCGATGTATTCAGATTTAAGTTTCATTCTGAACAAACTATAAATAACACTGAAAACCGAGAGACCAGATATCAACCGTTGCCATGGTTATTAAGCCTAAATATTAATTAGTTACTTATTGTTTATATTTATTTATATTATTAAAGGCACTAATTAGCTTTATCCTACATTTCTTCCACTAATCTACAGATATTTTTGGGGTATTTGTTTTTAATTAGAAAAGCAGAATTCGATCCTAATTTGTCTGATTAGAAAGACAAGTTTGCTATCCACTCGTTTGGGTAAAGTTGACTGATTGTATTATCAGATAATTTTTGTAGATGTTTTTTCTAGCTTTGTTTTTCACGTGTGCGGTTTTACATTTATCAATCAAATGGGTCAACGAAACCTAGAAAGCCTAACGGAGAGAGCCCAGATGAATGGATACCATTTCTGTCTTTCTAACAAAAGAACAAAGGTTTGATTCCCGATTCCCGCCGTCACGTGCATCGGTCTAAGAGTTTACCTGAAATAAATAAATGTATAAACATTAGTAACAAATAATAATTATATTTAGGTGCTCGTGTAAGAATCTAACTATGACAACGAATGAAAACCGATTTTATATAGTATACTATTTTTTCACAATAAACTGTTATACAAATGCGCATAAGAAGAATCTATGTAATGGCAGTATAAACTTATGTTATTCAAGAAAACACTCATATATTAACCAAAAGTAAAGCATTTTTACTTTAAAAAATTTTGTACTACGTTCCTATTTTTTTTTCTATTTTGTTGAAAATATCCCTCGACCCTCTTCAGGGGTCACCATCAGGTTTAATGTTTGTTCTTACATAGGTTAAAAAAAATAACTATGATATCCGTAAATATATAATTTTAATACATTTAGTACAACATATTTAGGCTTAAATCATTGAACTCCTATTCCTTCCAACAATCAAGACTTCCACTAAATTTATAAAAGTACCTTCATTTCTTTAAACCCAGAAGATGAAATGTTCTTTGTTTTCACAAGCTTGAGTAAACACCCAAGTCTAATGCTGAAAATGTTTGCAAAAGTTGTATATTTCAATAGAAAATAAGAACAGATACATAAACCCATTCTCATAACTGGTTCTGAGTAAATTCACAAATAAACAGAAACAAAGACACTGAAATATTTCGGAGAGCTCATTGCCAGAGAAAGAAATATATTCAAATGAAAACCAAAACCTTCATTTCTTCCGAGAATTTTGGACTTTGTGAGGTTTAGTGACTGAAAAGGTGTGCTGATTTCCCTTAAGAGTGATCAGGCAGGGTCCAACAGACATTTATCACGGAGCGAATCTGAATTCCTTGACTTTAACTGAGTTTGAAGATATGAAAGGAACTAGAAACAATGTATAACAAAATGAAAAAACACAGAAACGTCGGTCGACGCAAACTAAGTTTTTTTTCGTCATAGTTAAGTATTGTTCTAGGTCATTTACGTTGGGTGTCACTTGGGCGTCTTGAGAAGAATAGCATTATTGTTTTGTGTATATAATGCAATATTTTCTCAGTCTGGAACAATTACTTAACACAATTTCCTGACATATAATAGACACAACAAGCTCTCTTCAGTAAAGGCGTCGTCCATAGTGAATACACTCTTTTAATTATTTCTGTGTCTTAAATTTAAATTAAACTACATACTACTGCATTAATGAACAAATTTTAAAGCACATATTAAACAAGATGGTAAATGGCAAACACATGGTATGCCTGCGCACTACAGTGACTAGCATGGTGAGTTTCCAATCTAAAGATCTAACATCTGAGTTCTGATTTGCCGCGAAAAAAAAAATTAAATTTAAGTTAAAAAATAAATAAATAAAGCTGTGGGTGCGTTATAACTATTGTTGTTTGAAGTTAAGCACAAAGCCACACCACGACCTATCTGTGGTTTGCCCACCACGGGTATCGAAACCCGGTTTCTAGCGGTGTAAGTCCGCAGACATACCGCTGTGCCCCTGGGGTGGACGTTATAACTGTGACACTCAACTCTGTGTACAGTTAATAGTGCAAGCAGCGTTTGTTTCGCCACTCTTCTCGTTGACAATCCACTCATGCCATATGTCATATATTATTTCGCGCAAAAGAAAACCTGGTGAACTCGACGCTCGCATAATGTTATATCTTCTCAGTATATATCAAATAATATTTTCACTATCTTTGTACTCTGTCGATGGATATATAAATTTATGCCAAGTATAAATTCCTTTCCTGTAATTATTAAATATAGAGCAGTTTCATTCTGGGTTGTTAGTGTAAAATCATGTTATTGTTCTTTTATTTTATTTTTACTACGTATTTGGTGAAACAGTTTCATAGTTTGTACTATTCTGTCACCCAGTGAATTGAAAATTTAAGAATAAAATATAAAAATCTAAAGATGTATATTACAAAATAAATCATATTAAAATGTACACAAACTTTCAAATTAAAATCATAATCGAATAAGTCTAACTAACGTGAAAGAGAATGAAATGTTAAATAAAATGCAACTTGTTATAGATAAGAAAATAACACAATAATTATCGTCATTTACAGTTCGACGTTTTTTCTTTTTATATTATATTTCGATACTTGTATAAAAGTTGTTAGCGATGTGAGCCCTCGGACTTGCCGCTGAGTCACTGGAAGACATTTTATAAAGAGATAGTTAACAAGGTGGGCTAGGGCTGATATCGAACACAAGTTTGGGTGTTTTGGTGGTATTTGTGTAAATTTATTCTTCGGCAAATTTCTAGAACTTCAGAGCAAAACTTTGTGAAGAGTTTGTTTGTTTGAAGTTAAGTACAAAGCTACAGAACGGGCTGTCTGTGCTCTGCTCTCCACGAGTATCGAAACCCAATTTCTAGCGTTGTAAATTCACATACATACCGCTTTGCCAATGGGGGGGCTTTTTGTGAATAGAAGGAAATTCATAATTTGCTACCTAAAGAAAGAAAAACATGTACTTTGGAGGAGTTGCAGAGCCTTAACATATGCAAAGAAGAGTATAGAAGGAACCAACCCAATACAACATAAGTTTCGAAAAATGCTGAATAACCGAAAAACCTTTTAGATTTTACTCTTAAATATCCAATTGACTGGTTTACTAACGAGGTGTATAAATAATGAAACCGATTCAATATATGTACAGTAAAAAGAAAAATCAATAAATTAATATAAGATTAAGAATCTGAATAAAACTGTTCTATGTACATGCGTATACATATGATGAATGGAGTACAGAGAAAGCAAAATCGTTATGATATATATATATATATACAACCCCCAAAGTCATGGCAACGTATATACATATTCTTTCATACATACTAAATATTGTTACTATATAATACACCACAATGTCCATAGCTAAACACAGTTATCAACAATTTTATGAAAGTAACAAACAAAAAAGTTCTACTGGGAAATATATATGTATAATTTATTCACCGTAGTATTCGTCTATATCATGAAAATTCATGAAAAGGAAAGATTTGGACATTACATGAAAATAAAACATTTAGGTTATGCCTGCATCATAAAAAAGGAATTCATTTATTTAAAAAAAGTAACGAATGTCTCTAGCTCCGTACAGAGGAAACTTTCCATTAAAAAATACATATTCTACAAACAAAACTCTTTCGAATTTGAAATAGATTCACTATCCCTAAATACACAGAAAAACTTAATGTTAGTTCCTGACCCTGCGATATTTCTACTGTGTATAGTAATTAATATTAGTTCCCGACCCTTCAATATGTATACTATGTAAAGTAATTAATATTAGTTCCTGAACCTGCGATATTTCTACTGTGTATAGTAATTAATGTTAGTTCCCGACCCTGCAATATGTATACTGTGTATAGTAATTAATGTTAGTTCCAGACCCTGCAATATTTCTACTGTGTATAGTAATTAATGTTAGTTCCATATCCTGTAATATTTCTACTGTGTATAGTAATTAATGTTAGTTCCAGACCCTGCAATATTTCATACTGTGTATAGTAATTAATGTTAGTTCCAGACTCTGCAATATTTCTACTGTGTATAGTAATTAATGTTAGTTCCAGACCCTGCAATATTTCTACTGTGTATAGTAATTAATGTTAGTTCCAGACCCTGCAATATTTCTACTGTGTATAGTAATTAATGTTAGTTCCAGACCCTGCAATATTTCTACTGTGTATAATAATTATTCTATTTCTGAAGTTTGAGTGATATGAGGTATCTAAGTTTTAATTTGTTGTTTATAAAGATAGATAGATATTTAAGAATATCTAAATATTTTCTCATTAAGATGCCAGGTGAAACATATTTCAATGTTGAATACTAGTATAGTAATCTGCACAAACAGTAACGAAATCAGATGGAGATAATTAAAAAAAAATAATTGTAAAATTATGAGTAGAAGAAGTGAAAATTGAAAGAGGAGCGTGGAAAAAATATCTGTAGTTAACTGGTTTTATAAAAATTTTTAGGCCTACTGGTTATCCAATTTTACGCAGGTTTTCGGCGCTTAAATTGTAACAGTTAACCAAGGATGACAAACCATTATAAAACACGCGATACGAAAATTTCCCACAAACCTGATAACAGTGGATATTTCTAATGCAATATGGCAAATTTTCTTACCCTACGTTTTGAATTGACGGCTTCTGGCTGGACTTGGTTTGTGACACCATCAACAGATTGACGCCAAAGGACCCTTGACATCGAGATATAAGCAATCGCCATTGATCCGATGGGAAGAACGTAGGTAAGGATAAAGAAAGCGATATTGTATCTAGAATATACAAATAATGGTTGTTTTAGTTATGATAAATAATTAACCAATTCTACTCTCACGGCACTATGAATTTCCATCTTAAAAAGTCGTTATGTTTTATTATATGATAGAATAAATATTTTTAGAACAGAATACAGCATAAAAAGTTTTTAGTTTCCGATAATGGGACATTTTTTTATATTCATTTTCATTTGAAAATGCTCTTTAACTCGTTATTATATTGCTTGGATATTATTTACTCAAACACATTTATTACATCTATAAAGTTTGTGTAATTCACCATCAGACATTCTATAAAGTGATTATATAAAAAAAAGTATTAATAATGTAAAACTGATTTTGGCTAAAATGAAATATCGTTAATAACAGCCCTCCAGCGGCACAGCGGTATGTCTGCGGACTTACAACGCTAGAAACCGGGTTTCGATACCCGTGGTGGGCAGAGCACAGATAGCCCTTGTGTAGCTTTGTGCATAATTAAAAACAAAAAACAAAACAAACGTTAATAACACTAGAGAGATTTTAATAATTAGTTTTAAGAATCAGTATTTAAAGTTAAAATAGATCGGAACGATTCATCCTTCAACTCATAATCTAAACGATCGTTGAGTATCCTCTAGTATTTGAACAATGCAACCTATAAAATTTCAATTCACCACGAAACTTATATTTCTTTCGTATAGGTTTCATCATCCGAATATTTAACTTTGAGTTAAGCTTATAACTGTCAAGCCGAAAAATAATATAAAAACAATATAGCAACAGCATGCTTACGTCAGAAAGGTTTTTTAGATTTTAAACTAGAAATAATTTTTGGTCTAAGAGGAATTAAAGTCCAAATTTAATTATAGTATCTTTACGTTGCAAAATTGTTAAAGTTTTGAACCAGATTAATCCGCGCCTCTCGTGAATGCTTCGTAATATAGGTAAACATTTTATAATGTTGACGGTATTTGTTTTCTTTAGAGCAAAGCAACGTTGGGTTATTTGCTGTGTCCACCGTGGGAAATCAAACCCCGTATTTTAGTGCGTAAACTTACAGCTGAACTACCGGGGGACTATTGGTACTTAGAAAAACGTATCTTTTATAGACGGGTACTGGAAATGAAATTAGAATTCTGAAGTCATTTTAAAGTTTATAGTTTGTATCAAGTTTGTCTAAAGGTACATAATTTGGTATTTTGAGTATCATAAGAATCTGTATTCAGCAAACTATAAAATGATAACCAATTCTAAAGCTCGTTATTCACATTACGCTTAGTTTTCTACAATATCATATCTCGATTTTAATTTACTAACTATCTTAAAAAATAATAGATATAAAACTGCTTTGTTTTCCACGCATCAGTCTCCCCGCGAACGTTGATTGTCAAAATGATTTGTTGAAAGTGACCTGTTACTGATAAAGTATAATGAAAACTCGCAGGAACATTTTGGATAGAAAACTGTAATGGGTCCTTTGAAATTTTTGTGTTGAAAAATACAATTGTCTAATATGCTATTCCTTTGCATTCTGTGAAATAAACGGTTTGTACTACTTCACCGAAATGATTTTATTTACCTTAGAAACAAAAACAAGATTAAATTTACATAAGTCTTTGGACATTGTCAAAGTACAATTGCTAGATATAGCGATAATTAAACAAGTAAAAATATTTTCCCTGCTAAAGATCTCCTCCCCATTCCTTACTGCTCCTGGCTTGTCTATCTTTACACGTGCGGAGATTGAAAGGCCTCCTATATTGTCAAAACCAAACGCCATTTAAAAGTCAGAGCCTATGAACATATGGGAATTTCTATCAAAACGCAAAAAGAAAAAAATGAGTAACCCCTGTGTTTCCTCTACACGCCAACAGAGTGAAGAAACAGGACATCAACCTATACTATCAAATTTTTCTATCTTCTGCAAGTCTAATACTGACCTGGAATTATTGATCAAAGAAACCCGCTCCACATCAAACAGCACTGAACAACATGCAGCCTTCAGTTAAATTATACATTTTTCAATATGTTCGTATTACTGATTTTACCTTTTTTGTTGTGTTTTCTTGCTGTAGTTTCTGCCCATGATTACTGTTTCGTGTTTT